TTCTCTTGCCTCAGAGGACCTATCTACAAAAATGTTGCTAAGGCCAGTTTCAAAGAAATTACTGCCTATGTTTTCTTCTAGGAGTTTTATGGTTTCACATTTCATATTTAGGTCTTTAAGATTGTATTTTTTTTTTTTTTTAAGTAGCCTCCATGCCCAGCCAGTTGGGCTTGAACTCAGAACCCTGAGATCAAGACCTGAGCTGAGATCAAGAGTTGGACACTTAACCGACAGAGCCAACCACATGCCCCAAGATTTTAATTTTTAAAGTATTTATAGTAGCTCCATTATCATCTTACTCCAGCCTTTCTTGGGACTTCCCTGGCTTTGTACTTCTTGCTCCCAGTTAGTTGTTATCAATAGTTTTCTGTGTCCTGTCATTTTCTCACAGAGAAAACAGTCTTTAGGATTCAGCCCTTTTGGAATACTTGTGACAATCCTGCAGTATTGTCAAGAAAATTAGAATAGTAGGTCAAGAGTGGATGAAGGATAAAATCTCCTTGATCGGGCGCCTGGGTGGCTCAGTTGGTTAAGCGACTGCCTTCGGCTCAGGTCATGATCCTGGAGTCCCGGGATCGAGTCCCGCATTGGGCTCCCTGCTTGGCAGGGAGCCTGCTTCTCCCTCTGACCCTCCCCCCTCTCATGTGCTCTCTGTCTCTCTCATTCTCTCTGTCTCAAATAAATAAATAAAATCTTTAAAAAAAAAAAATCTCCTTGATCTATATCAAGAGCGAGCACCCCCCTTCCCAACACATACAGATTTACAGCGACATCTGACAGTCTGCTTTGTGAACAAAATTTGTCTTAAAAGAAATCGTAAGATTGGCAGACAAGGGAGAAATATACTGGAGATAGAGTAAAAAGATACCTTTAAGCATGTAAATTTCATTTAAAAAATTCCTTCTGTAGCACCTCAGAGTTGCTTGTGTTGATCCTGGTTTTCAAAAGTTTGCCTCCCAGTACCCCTGTGACAACAGCAGGGCAGCTGGTGACGTGGCCAACTCCTTAGCTGCTTTTACCGGCTTCCAGATGGCTGCTTTCAGGAAGGTTTCCATAGCGACCAGAGGCAGGAAAAACCTGCCTGCCCAGCTTAGCAATATCATATCTGGCTCCTCCTGGGAACGTGGAGACTCAGAGCAGTCGGTGGGAGATGGTGGCAAAGATATATTATTGCAGAGACTCTTTAAAATATATCCAGAATCTGACCATTTCTTGCTGGTCCCACTGTAGCAAAGCCAGCGTCATTCCCACCGGCGTCCCTGGCAAGCCTCCTGCTTGCAGCCTTTTCTGCACGGCACGAGAGCTTTTAAAACCTAAGTCAGATTCAGGTTCACCTCTGCTCAGAACCCTGCTGTGATGCCCACCTCACTGAGAATAAGATCCAAAGTCTGCACACAACGGCCAGGCCCTCCGTGACTCCTGCTGCGTCTCCCACCCGAGTTTGCTCTCGCTGTCCCGGTTCCCAATCCACTGGCCACCTTGCTGCTGTTCCAGCCTTCCAAGTATGTTCCTGCCTTAAAGGCTTTGCACTTGCTATTCCTTCTGCCTGGATCCCTTTTCCCTCAGATAGCCACATGACTTGATTGCTCACTTCCTTCTGTTTTGGTCTTTGCTCAGATGCCGCCTTCTCTTCAGAGGGCTTTTCCTGACCACTTTATTATACATAACCCCTCTCTTCTGTACTCTCTGTACTTTTTACCTTCTTTATTTTTCTTATAGTACTGTAGTTACCGTGATCTGACTCAGCTATTTTTATGCTTATTGTCTGATTCTCTAATGTAACACCTGGGACTTCTGATTTTTCACTATTGCATCTCAGCCCTTAGAACCATGCCTGGATTGTGGTGGCACTCTGTAAATGTTCGTTGAGTGAAGCAATGAGTGGGAGGCAAGCTAAAACGGTTAGCTAAGAAGCTAAGCTTCTTGGCCCCCTCAGTTCTCCACTGCCAGAGACAGCTCATTTCCTCCACTGTCAGCAACGCCTGCTTCCTTCACACTTTGTCCCCCCGGAAGAAACAACCAAATCACTACCTCTGTGGCATCAATGATGAGGACGCTGGTGATGATCTAGCTGGTGGCCGTGTGACATCAGTTCACCAGGCAGGATGGGGAGGTAGCATGGTTTTGTAGGAGGGTACGTTGTTGGAGTCTATTTGGAAAACTATACATGCGTCTTTTCTAGGCTTATTTTCTTCTGTATAATGAATAGAAGTATCTACTTCAAAATGTGTTATAAGGATTGAATGATGATGTGATTTTAAAACTTCTAGTTCATTCCCTTTAGTGGAAACATATGTATTGCTCCATCCAGCATGAAATTCTCATTCAAACCTGGCCCTACATATCTGTTATACTGAAGGAAGACATTCTGTTTTTGTTTTTTTAAGATTTATTTATTGGAGAGCGCATGGATGCGTGCAAGTAGGGGAAGGGGCAGAGGGAGAGAATCCTCAAGCAGACTTCCCACTGAGCACAGAGCCCCATGCAGGGCTCAATCCCACGACCCTGACATCATGACCTGAGCCAAAATCAAGAGTCAGACACTTAACCACTGAGCCACCAAGGTGCCAGGAAGACATTCTGTTTTCATTATTATCCTTATTCAGAATGGACAAGCCTAGGATGGCCGACCTGTTAGGGAAGCGGATCCTGCCATCTGGCTCTCAGTGGTTCTTGTCTGGAAGCAGGAGGGAGCAGCTCTCCCAGTTGGGCAGCAAGGCCTCCCTGATGGGCATTTAGGCCAAATATGGCATGGTTGGGCTGTGTCTGAGGCAGGAGTGGAGGTTGGTGACCAGCTGAGCTGCCCTTACGAGCTACAAGATGACTCTTTTGCCCCCAAATTTGCAAATGTGTCTTTGAAGAGAACGGGGATTTTTTTTTCACATGCCCACCATGAACATATGCTCAAGTTAAGGGTCCATAGGGTGATGTTTTCCCAAAGCTGCCTTTGATTTTCCTTTTTTGCTTCCTTGTCAGTCACCTGACCCTCTGGTCTCCCAGAATTCTGTGGCAGAGGGCGTGGAGGTGAGGCGCTGCTGTGGGCTGGAACAGCAGCAACCCCTGAAAAATGGCAGGAGAAGACGTCTCTTTAGGTCCGGATCTGGAGGAACATGATTTCAAAAACTGGAAGGCAGCTTGTCCTAAAATATTTCAGCCACATCGCCTTATTGCTACCTCTTGTTTCTTTCACGGAGTCTAAGCCTTTCATTCCGTAGTTGGAAATGAAAGGCTTAATATTCAGAAAAAGCTGAGGAAACTGCTCCAGAAACTGCATTTCTGTTGAAGCTCAGGTAATAACAGATTCTTTCTAGATCTACTAGGAACAGGTTGGAAATGAGAAGTTAGAGAGTTAGAGGACACCCCATTTGATGGTTTTTTCCTTTTTAAATTATAGCCATAATTCACATGCTATAAAATTCACCATTTTTATTTGAAGTGTGCAGTTCACTGGTTTTAGTATTTCATACTGTTGTGCAACTATCACTACCATCCCATTCTAGAACATTTTTCATCTCCCCCAGATGGAAGCCCTGTTTTAGTGGTCACTCTGCAGTCCCATCTCCCCCAACCCTTGGCAGCCACTAGCCTGCTTTCTACCCATGGATTTGCCTCTTTTGGACATTTCACTTAAATGGAATCATACAGTCTTCACCCTCTTGTGAGTGGCCTCCTTCACTGAGCATAATGTTCTCAGGGTCCATTGATAGAGCCACACGTATCAGTACTTCGCTCCTGTTTACGGCTGAATAATGTTCCACTGCATGGATGGTCCAGACATTCTGTATATCCACTCATCAGTTGGCTTGTTTCTCCTTTTTGGCTATATAATGAATAACGCTGCTATGAACATTGTATATAGGTTTCTGGGTGGATGGACATGCTTTCATTCCTCTTGGGTGAGTAACTACAGGAGTGGAATTACTGGGTCATATGGGAACTCCCATGTTTACCTCTTAGACAAACTACCAGACTGTTCTCAACAGCAGCTTCTCCATTTTATATTTCACAGACCACCAGCAATATAAGGGTTCTACTTTCTCCATGTCCTCGTCCACACTTACAGTCTGTCTTTTTGATTATGGCCATCTTAGTGGGCGTGAAATGGTACCTCACTGAGGCTTCAATTTGCATTTCCCTGATGAATAATCTTTTTACCTGCTCATTGGCCATTTATATCTCTTTGGAGAAATGTATATGCAGATCTTTTCCCCATTTTGTCTTTTTGTTGAGTCCTCATTTTTTTTTTTAATTTTTTTTTTTTTATTTATTTGCGAGAGAGAGACTGAGAGACAGAGAGCATGAGAAGGAGGAAGGTCAGAGGAAGAAGCAGACTCCCTGCCAAGCAGGGAGCCCGATGCAGGACTCGATCCCGGGACTCCAGGATCATGACCTGAGCCGAAGGCAGTCGCTTAACCAACTGAGCCACCCAGGCGCCCGAGTCCTCATTTTTTGAGAGGACAAAAAGGAGGGAGGCAGGAATTTCAGTGGCAACAGGAGAGATCTGGATTAGATTTCGACCTCCTGGTTTCCCAGCTATAAGGCTAGTGGAGAATGTGGTAGAGCGGATGGTTTGGTGAAGGGGAAAAGTTCAGTGTTGAGGTGAATTCGAGGTATTGACTCAGAGGCTAAGTTGTATTCTGCGAAATGGTTCCTCAAAGATTCTAGCTCAGGGAAACCTATTCACGGAGGTTTGGCCGTTTTTTTTTCCTTTTAAAGAAGCATTTGCCTGAGCCTAGGGCATCAGGAAGACTGTATGTACGATTCTTTCCTTCAATAACGGAACTGAGTGGGCACTCCCCTTGGCTTACAGAGCTGTTAACATCAGTTTTGTAGCTTCTTCAGAGTGTTTCATGTATCCTCTCCCAGACGAAATGTTCAGAATAGGAGGCATTTCTTTCAAGTGTGGCTTTTCCTTCTCACTGTCCCTTGGCCAGCAGAATCACACTACTCCCAGGAGAGGGGCTGCATTATAATGACTTTCCCCTCCGCTCTCCTACCAGGGCAGATGTTTCTGGACCAGATGAAGCCTGAGGAGCCTTCCAGCTGTAAAATAATAGGCTAGGAAGCCTTCTAAGTGTGGATTTGCAGAAGACTTGCCCCGCCTCTCCACACAATGTCAGGTGGGAGGCAGGCCCTGGGCTGGAATTGGGTGAGAGGCTGTCTGAAAGAGGGGAGGGTCTCACCCTCCCATCCAATGGAGTGGAAGCAGGACAGGCCTTTGAGGAAAGAGTGCGAGAAAGGAGGAGGTCCTCCTGCCGGGAATCCAGGGTTACCACACCTTTTCATGGCTCAGATCTCCAGGTTCTGTGAATCCCTCCCTCCAGCCTGCAAATCCTCACACTTGGATGGGGGAAGAAGCAAAGAGATGGAATTTGGTTTTGTTTTGTAACATACTGCTTTTTTTCTTTTCCTTCCTCCAGAAAGTTGCTCATTTTTAGGTCTCTTCCCCTCCCCCATCCATTCCACTTTCAATGGTGCAGTCCCTTTTCTGCTGAGGCCCTTTCTGGGGGGGAGTGGGGATGTCCCACCTTGATTTTTGCCCCTGAACGCTCTGCATTTTCTTAATTTCCTATTCCTGGTCCTCCTTGATTTTAGGAAACCACATCCCTTCTGCCAGTGGCCCCTTCTCAGCCCTGACTCCGAGCATGTGGCCCCAGGAGATCTTGGCCAAGTACACGCAGGTACAGCTTTGTGCCTAGGCTTTGGCGCCCAAGGGAACCCACTGCTTTAGACTTCCTGCAGCCACCCCACTGTGTTCACGTGGGCTCAGAAGCCACCATCAGAGATGGCACCTTAGCTCCATATCCTCTGGGAATTAGTCATGAGGTTGGAGGAAAAGTATTCGGCACTGTGTGCTCAGTATTATGAAGACACAGAAATGCATAAAATCTGTTTCTTTCCTTGATCTCATTATCTTTGACCTCTGAGGAGAACAAGGAAAATGCTGGGCCAGTTCAAGAAGGTGGTGGCCCCTTTGGCTGAGGGATGACCACAGAAGCTTCAAGGAAGGGGTGGCCTTTGATCTGAGTCTTGAAGGCCAGTGGAACTTCAGCAGGCAGCAATGTGGGAGGCATCTTCCAGAATCTGTGGTCCCAGACTGGCGGCCACACAACTGACTTCTCCTAATCCTGGTTCTAGAAGGAAGAGTCAGCGGAACAACCAGAGTTCTGCTACGATGAGTTTGGCTTCCGCGTGGACAAGGAAGGTAAGATGGAGCCCCTGGTGTGTAATCTTGCTGCTGTCCGTGGGGAGGACTCCAGCTCCAGCAACTCTCCGTGGTGCCACTATGACCTGGGCTCTGGGGGCTTCACCTGCTCCTGCGCTGACGTAAAAGTGTCACCCTCAGAGGCAATTCTCAGTATATGGAAACCTCTGAGTTTTTTAAAATTTAGGTTAATTTTATTATTGTAGTGAAGTAAAAAAATACAGAAAACTATAAAGATTAAAATAAATTAATCCATAATCCCACAACCTGAAGATAATTGCTGACATTTCAGTTTCTTTTTTTCCTGGCTCCGTGTGTGTGTACTTTTCGTAACTAACATGTAATCTACATATTTTTATATTGCTCTTATGTCTCTTAACATTATTTACCATGAGCATTTCTTCTGTCAGTTAAGACCTCTTTAAAAGCATATTTTTCAGTGGCTGCATAATATGCCTTTATAAGGGACTGATCATAGTATTTTATAACCACTCTTCTGTAAGTGGGCCTCTAGGCCATTTCCATTGTTTCCTACTCTAAATACACCTGCTGGTTTCCAAGTGGGCTGTCGGGAAAGCTGTCTGCCGGAAGCCAGGACAGCCTGTCACCAGGATGTAACTATGACTAGAAGATTTTAATGGGCTGAAACCAGTCCTCTTCAGGTCACTCATATTCCAATTCTGATGTAAGTTTTCCTTGCTCCCTGGTTTGCAGGCAGATACTTGGAAGTTAAAAAGTTGGGCCTGTGAGGAACACAGGGAACTCTCTAGCATAATAGAAATATTCTCTATCCCTTTTTTTTTTTTAAGATTTATTTATTTGAGAGAGAGAGATTATGAGAGAGAGAGAGCACATGAGACGGGGGAGGGTCAGAGGGAGAAGCAGACTCCCTGCTGAGCAGGGAGCCTGATGTGGGACTCGATTCTGGGACTCCAGGATTATGACCTGAGCCAAAGGCAGTCGCTTAACCAACTGAGCCACCCAGGTGCCCCAAAATATTCTGTCTTGATGATCGCGGATGACATTTAGACATTTATTTACTGATACTCACCAAAGTGTACACTTAAAATTTGTGCATTTTAATCTGCATGTAAATTCACTAAAGGTGAAGTTTTGCAAAGGTGAGGCTGAGGACATGGCTTTTGTGTGAGTAAGGAGGAGGATCTGTGTGAGGCTAATGTGCCCTGATGTTGCCTGGTGGTCGCAAGAGCTCTGTCGGTGTTGACGCCAGCATTTCAGGGGCTGTCTGCAGGTTGTCCGCCCTCCACTGCTGCATCCCCAGTGCCTCGAACAAACCTGAAAGTGGTCTTGGCCTTCTGGAATTACCAGACAGTGAACAAACAAACTTAAGCCGGGAGCAAGAAGAGCTATGAAAAAATTTGGAGCTGTGGAGAAGAGGGGAGGTGGATTGTGTGCGAGGTGACAGAAGGGGAAGGCCTCTCAGAGGGGAGACATTTGGATGGAGACTAGGAGGAAGCGAGGCAGTGAGCATAGCTGGGGCAAGGGAGTAATCCAGGCAGAGGCCCTGAGGTGGGGGGGGATTTGGTGAGAAATAGCTGGAGCCAGGGGAGCAAGAGGAGAGCAGTAGGTGATGAGGACGGAGGAGCCAGGCTGAGAGGACGTGGTCACGGAGCCTTGTAAGGCCTCTTGTCAGAGTGAGCCGAGTGACGTGGTCTGACTCGTGTCTGAGATGGGGCCCTCCTACTGCTGGGTGAATGCCTTTGAGGGGCAGGGGTGCAAACGAGCGAGTGAGAAGGCTGTACGGTGACCCCGATGGAAGCTGATGGCTTGGTCAAGGGCCACAGGGGGGGTTGGAAGGGCGGTGAGATCTGCCAGCAGGGCTTGCCTGGGGGCTGAATGTGGGGGACAAGTGGAGGGGGAGCCAGAGGGCCTTCTGAGTATCTGGAGAGTGGGGGTGGGTCTGTGGACCTGGGAGGGACTGGGCAGGGGCAGGTTTGGGGCAGAAATTCAAGAGCTTGCGTTTGCTCATTGGTATGTCTGCGGGATGTGCGGCTAGAGCCAGGGAAGCTGTTGCAGATGTGGCTCTGGATTTCAGTGGTGAGATATGGACCTAAAGGCCACGGCCTGCCCCTGCTCACCACTGCGTCTCCCGGCTCTCTCCTGGCAGACGGTGCCAACCCCAGCTGCAGCAGGCTGCCAGGTGTGTCTCTGTTGGAGGACCCTCCACAGAGGCTGCGGTGGCAGGCCCACCTGGAGTTCACCCATAACCACGATGTGGGGGATCTCACCTGGGACAAGATTGCCATCTCTCTGCCCCGCTCGGAGAAGCTTCGCTCCCTGGTGCTGGCCGGCATCCCACACAGCATGAGGCCACAGGTGAAGCTGCGAGGGAGGGGCCGCCGCGCAGAGGGGGAGGGTTCAGGTGTCCCACCAAAAGCTCATGGCAGCTCCCTCCTGCAGCTGTGGATGCGGCTCTCCGGGGCCCTGCAGAAGAAGAGGAATTCTGAGCTGTCCTACCGAGAGGTGGTGAAGAACAGCTCCAATGATGAGACCATTGCTGCCAAACAGGTGAGGGGGGCCCTGCAGGAAGCACTTTCTGGTCAGAAACCGTGTGTGGGCCTGCAGGAGGGCAGTGAGCTGCCTGGGGTTACAGGAAGCTGCCCCTCTTGGTCTCTCCTTGGCAGGGGTGGCCTGGGAGAGCAGGCGGCCGTGTGGTAGCCCTTACACTCCCAGACACGTTTCTGCGCTTCCTGGGTCCTCTGTAGGCAGCAGGGACAATTGTCAAAAAGATCACCAAACCTGGGCGGGCACGTTACCTGGAGATTTTAAATACAGATTTCCAGGCCTCATTCCAGAGAGTCTAAATTCTGTAGCTCTGGCTTGAGGCTCAGGGATCTGTAATTTTATTTTTCTAAGTTCCCCTGGTGAATCTGGTGGAATCAGCTACATACTAGCTGAGCTCTAATCCTGAAGGAAGGAGGGTAAACTTTGACCCAGAGCATTAGGAATCCTCATTCCTGGGTGAAAAGCCTGCCTGGGGTTTGTCCCACACAGGGGACCCCCAGCTTCCCTCCCAGGGGTGCCTCAGGTGTCACCAGCATGGAGGGTGGTGTGGGCCTCGCGGCGTGAGGCTGCGTCTCACGGGGGCTCGTTGGGGGTGGGCTGCGGGCAGATTGAGAAGGACCTGCTCCGCACCATGCCCAGCAACGCCTGCTTCGCCAACGTGAGCAGCATCGGGGTGCCCCGCCTGCGCAGGGTTCTCCGCGCCCTGGCCTGGCTCTACCCAGAGATCGGCTACTGCCAGGGCACAGGCATGGTGAGCACAGCCCAGAAGGGGCAGTAGGATGGGTGGCGGGGCTGGGGCGGGAACCCCCCCCCCCAGAGGGCTGGGCCTGCCAAATATGTTGGTTCCACCCGAGGAGAGCATGCGGTCTATGAGGTGACCCCCAGAGGGGGGGTACCTCTTCTAATTCACATGGAGACCTGGGTACAGGCCCCCTGTCCCCCTGCCCTGGCCAGGTGGCTGCCTGCCTCCTGCTGTTCCTAGAGGAGGAGGATGCTTTCTGGATGATGTGCGCCATCATCGAGGACCTGCTCCCTGCCTCCTACTTCAGCACCACTCTGCTGGGCGTCCAGACAGACCAGCGGGTCCTGCGCCACCTCATCGTCCAGTACCTGCCCCGCTTGGACAAGCTGCTCCAGGAGCATGACATTGGTGAGGGGGCCAGCACCCACCCTCTTCTTTGGGGTCACGGGGGTCCTGTGACTCTGGCTCAGATACTGCAGGTCTGAGGCCTCCGGACCCAGCAGGGGACAGGGCAGCTGTGTTGGGAGGAAGGAGCTCACCTGACGGGCCAAGCCCTCCATCAGCAGCACACGCAGTCTTGGGGTGCTCCTGTTCTCTGATGTTCCCTGACGGCCTGTCTCCTCCCTCCTCCTGGAGCAGGCGAGGCCGCTTGCTCTTTGGGAGCGACACTCCCCCTTCTCCCCAGGCCCCCGCTTTCAGGCTGCGCCATGCTGGCTGTCCCTGGCTCCAGCCACAAAGGCTCCGGTCTGTATCTGCAGAGCTGTCCCTCATCACGCTGCACTGGTTCCTCACGGCCTTCGCCAGCGTGGTGCATATCAAGCTGCTGCTGCGCCTCTGGGACCTCTTTTTCTACGAGGGCTCCCTGGTGCTGTTCCAGACCACGCTGGGCATGCTGCGCCTCAAGGTCTGCTGGGGCCCTGTCCCACCTGGGGCCCCTCCCCTGGGGGGCCTGCCGTGGGGTTCCGCCTTCAGCACCGTGCGGCCTGACCACCGGCCCCTCCTCACAGGCCCACGGTGGGGTGGGGTCCCCTGGGGCCCGGGACTCCTTGTGCTCAGCGTGATCATCCAGGGAGGTCACACGTGCCCGAGGACGGTGATCAGGGTCCGCTCGCAGGCCTGGCATTTGGCGGTGATGCCCCCTGCCCTACTCCTTGCCTCGCATGGCCCAGGAGGAGGAGCTGATCCAGTCCGAGAACTCGGCCTCCATCTTCAACACGCTGTCAGACATACCTTCGCAGATGGCCGACGCCGAGCTGCTGCTGGGGGAGGCCATGCGGCTGGCCGGCTCCCTCACCGATGTGGCTGTGGAGACGCAGCGCCGCAAGCACCTGGCCTACCTCATTGCCGACCAGGGCCAGCTCCTGGGGACCAGTGCCACCACCAACCTCTCGCAGGTGGGCCCGTGAGGGAGGAGTCCCCACCTCACCCACAGGGTGGGGGGTCCCCGAGGAAGCCCAGAGTGAGAGAGGCTGCGGGGAAGCCTCCAGCCCTTCCTTGCTCTGCTGCCCGCCCCCCGGCCTGGCCCCCGGCCCGGTCAGACCACAGCTGTGCAAGGACCCGCTGCCCCGGCCTTCTGTGCGCCTCCGCTGTGACCTGCCCCGCGTGGGTGTAGGACACACCCGGCTTTGAACCGACCGCATTTCCGATGCTCCGAGCCGGCCACAGAGGCCATTTCAGATGAGTTGGCATGAGACGCTGGCCCCAGGAGGAGCTCTCTCAGCTTCCTCCAGTGCTGGGGCGCCCGGCACCCCACCTGGCTGCCACTGACCCGCTCCCTGCCTGCAGGTCGTGCGTCGCAGGACCCAGCGGAGGAAGTCTGGCATCACCTCCCTGCTCTTTGGTGAGAACTGCTGTGGCAGCCGGTGCCGGGCTGGGTTCAGTGGCTCCTTCCCTGCCAGGGGGTCCCAGCTCACAGCGCTCCCTGCCCCAGCTGGCGGGGTGGGGATGTAGACCAGGGGGAGTCTGCCCTCAGACCTGGGCGTGGACCCTCAGCTTCCTGGGGGCTGGGGGGGCCATGGCTGCCATAGTTCTCTGGGGCTCCCAGGGGAGGACGACCTGGAGGTGCTCAAGGCCAAGAACATCAAGCAGACAGAACTGGTAGCTGACCTCCGGGAAGCCATCCTGCGCGTCGCACGCCATTTCCAGTGCACAGACCCCAAAAACTGTAGTGTGGTGAGTTGTGGGCTCAACTTGGGGGCTTGGGCTCCCCAGCCTCCTTGTGAGGCCCCAAAGCCCTGGCGAGGAGGCATCTCCCCCTTGAGCAGGCCTTTCTGCCCGTTGGGCAGGAGCTGAGCCCGGACTACAGCATGGAGAGCCACCAGCGGGACCATGAGAACTACGTGGCGTGCTCACGCAGCCACCGGCGCCGGGCCAAGGCCCTGCTGGACTTCGAGCGACATGACGACGACGAGCTGGGCTTCCGCAAAAATGACATCATCACGGTGCGTGGGGCGCAGGGAGCAGGCACCCCTGGGCTGTCCCACCCCGTCCCCGTTTTAGTCCCACCCGCCCGGCCGAGGGCGCAGCCGCATGGCTGCAGGCACAGGGCCTGGGCAACCAAGGCTTTGCTTCCTCCTCTTCTCCGCCGGCCGACCGTGCAGATCATATCTCAGAAGGACGAGCACTGCTGGGTCGGGGAGCTGAATGGCCTGAGAGGTGAGGCCTCCGTCCGGAGGAGGGGCGGGCTGGGCAGGGAACCCGGGAGCCCTGGCCGCCCTCCCCGTGCCCTCTGGCCTCTGCAGGAGCTGGGCTTTCTCAGCCAGCGAGCCTGCCCTCACACGGCCCTTACGCCCTTCCCGGGCGGGAGGTGTGCGGCCGCCGGCCGCCCGCTCCTCACGGGGCCCTGCTTCTCCCACAGGCTGGTTTCCAGCCAAGTTTGTGGAAGTCCTGGATGAACGGAGTAAAGAGGTAAGAGGGGACACAAGGCACGGCTGCCCCTGGGAGCTGCTGCCGCCTGACCTCGGCACCTGCTGGCTTGTGGCAGTGGCTGTGGGGACGGGGAGGGCGTGGCTGGCGCCTCTCAGACTCTGTCCCCCACCATCAGTACTCCATCGCGGGGGACGACACTGTGTCAGAGGGGGTCACGGACCTCGTTCGAGGGACCCTCTGCCCAGCTCTCAAGGCCCTGTTTGAACATGGGCTGAAGAAGCCCTCCCTGCTTGGGGGCGCCTGCCACCCATGGTTGTTTATCGAGGAGGTAAGTCAGTGGCTGGACCCACATCCCCCACCATCCTTTTCCTTGAGCTTCTGGGCCCCGTAGAGCTGACACAGGAGCTCACGGGGTGGCAGTATGCGCGCAGTTGGCCCCTGTGGCTTTGACCCGGTCCCTTCCCTGTTGTCCCTTACACTCACCTTGACCCCCAGGCAGCGGGCCGGGAGGTAGAGCGAGACTTTGACTCGGTGTATTCGCGCCTGGTGCTGTGTAAGACGTACAGGTAACAGGCTCCAGCAGCGCGCCCCGCGTCCCCCTGGCTGTCCCCGTGGGGGGAGGGGGAGGGCACAGCCTGAGCCGCGCTTCCTGGGGCAGCACTGGCAGCTTTGATCCGTCCCTCAGGTTGGACGAGGATGGCAAAGTCCTGACCCCGGAGGAGCTGCTCTACCGGGTAAGCGGGGTGGTGGGTGGGGCAGGCGTCCTGGGTTGGCAGCTGGAGCCCCCTGACAACTGGGCCCTCCCAGGCTGTGCAGTCTGTGAACGTGACCCACGACGCCGCACACGCACAAATGGACGTCAAGCTCCGGTCCCTCATCTGCGTGGGGCTCAAGTGAGTGTATCTGCCCACCGTGGGCCAGCGACAGTCCGGTCAGATGGCTGGTAGCCTGGGCGGTGGCCCTGTGGGGCAGCGGGGTGCCCGTGGGCTGGGCCTTCTGGGCCCGGGGCCTGGACAGACAGGGCAGCAGGGTGACTCCCAAAAGCCGTCCTCCAGTACAAGCCCGGCCATCGTTCTGTGGGCTGGGGAAGGCACTCGCGGGTTTTGTGAGGCAGAGATTTTAGCAAGGTGCCCGGTGAGGGGGGTCACCAGGAGTGAGGCCACCACAACCAACTAGCGAGGGGGCACTGGCTTGAAGGGAGCTTGGGCATCTGTGAGGCCCAGACCCGGGCCAGCGTGAGTCTGCTTTCTGCATTTGCCACCCAGCGGAGGGGACAGCCTCCAGGAGACCAGCTCCTAACATGGCCGTGGGCTTCCCTCCTGGACTGACCAGCAGGGCTAAGGCCCCTGGGTGCAGCAGGTGGTGGCCGAGTCTCAGACACAGAGAGGGAAGAACTGGGGCTGTGGGGACAGTGGGCCCGAGTGCCTCCCAGTGGGGAGGAGCCAGAGCTAGGCCGCTGTGCAGACACCGGCTCCCCGCCAAGGTGTGGGGGGAGAGGCGCCCACTCCTCCCCGCCTGTCCCCAGCGAGCAGGTCCTGCACCTGTGGCTCGAGGTGCTCTGCTCCAGCCTGCCTACTGTGGAGAAGTGGTACCAGCCCTGGTCCTTCCTGCGCAGCCCTGGCTGGGTCCAGATCAAGTGCGAGCTCCGGTGAGTCCCCTGCCCAGGGGCCCGGGGTGGGGTCGGCGCGGGCAGAGCTGACCGCTCCCTTCCTCACCTCTAGCGTCCTCTGCTGCTTCGCCTTCAGCCTCTCCCAGGACTGGGAACTTCCTGTGAAGAGAGAGGTGCGTGGTTGGGCTTGGCTCTCGGCCCTGCGGCCCGGCCCGCCTTCCCGCCGTGGGGACGGCCTGGGGTGGGGCAGGCCACCCCAGACACCTCGTGGGCGGCTCGGGCAGGGCCTGTGGGGACCCCGAGTGCCGGCATCACGCGGGCCACGAGCCGCTCTGGCCCCTGCCCTCTCGGGCTTCCTTGCCGTGTGATCCTGCATCCCCCGCTGTGCCGCCCGTGACAGAGGCTGTTCCCATGTGCAGGAGAAGAAGCCACTGAAGGAGGGTGTTCAGGACATGCTCGTGAAGCACCACCTCTTCAGCTGGGACATAGACGGGTGATGCTCTTCCTCCAGCGGCCCGTCAAGCCAGGCCTCCCCCCAACCTGCTGGCTACCGAGCAGCCCCTTCCTCAAGCAAGAAGAGGACAGCACAGTCCTGGCCAGGCTTGGGTCTGCTTGGGGATGGGGTCTGAGGTGGCCTGGGCCCATTCCAAGCTGCGGGGGGGGTCAAGGGAAAGCGACACTGGAGCTCTGGCCAGGCGGCACGGTGAACGGGGACACCACCTGGAACACTCAGGATGTCACTAGAGGACAGTGGGCGGCAGGAGCAGAAGGTGGGGCTGAGCCGGCTTCTCCCAGTGCCTAGGGGAGTGCCCAGCCTGGGCCCCAGTTTCAGAGTTTGTACCAGCCAAAACCTCGTGAGGAGGTGGGGCGCCATCTCTGTTCTGTCCGTTTGTGCTCAGGAAGGGGAGGGGGTGGCCACAGGCTCTTTGGCTTGTCAATAAATTGTGTCCTTGGGAAACCACCTCCCGTCTTCTGTCCAGCCAGGGCCATAGAGCTGTATGTCCAAGGTTCTGTCCTTTCTGGAATGGTCTAGAAAGCCTAGGAGCCAGCCCTATCACCCACCTCCTCCATGGACTGAACAAAAATGGACCAAAATCAGTGTTTTAGTTTTTATTTTAAAAAGTCCACACAGCTTCCCGACCTCTGTCCCAGCACTGGTTTGGTGACTCCATCCCTAATCCCGTTAACAACAGTGACAGGCCAGAAGGGAGGCTGGGCCCCAGGGCAAGAGGTGGCCACAGCTTGAGGGCTGACACCCCTCCTGTCCCAGGGCCACCGCGGCTGCAGTGAGGCAGCGGGACGGAATGTGGGGGGGTGGGTGTGGCCGGGAAGCACCTCTGCCCTCGTGGCACTAGTCGGAGCAGGGCACAGGCTGTGGCAGGGTGTCTACATGTCAAACACGCGTGATGGGGCCGAGGTGAGCTGCATCCAACCCCAGGAGCGGTGGTCTCCAGGCCCTTCTACATTGTGCACAGAATGGGAGGGAGCGCAAATCCACCTCCCAGCCCCCCAAAATCGATGTATACATATGTATGGCAATATAGATATAGAGATATATACACCTGTACAGAAACCGTTTGCCACCAGCCACTAAAGGGTTACACAACACCAAGACACTAAAATGGCAAGGGACTCCTCTCCCAGGAAGCCTGGGACCCTGGGGTTGGCATCACGGGGAACAGGGAGGTAGAGGCCCAGCTAGTTTCTTCCCTCGCGGGGGGGGGGGGGGGGGGGGGAGGAGCGGGGGGGGGGGGCGCGGCGAGGGGGAGAGAAGGAAGGAGATCCGCCCTGGGCCTCGCCTGCCTGAGCAAACTGCAGCCAGACTGCACCTCCGACCTCACAAAAGGAGGTCAATAGAATGGCCCTGGCCTGTCCAGGCCTCCTGAACTCTAGGCTGAGACCAAAGCTGCTCCTGGGCGGCTTCTCTCCTTGGTGAGCCTGAGCCAGGTGGCAGCATGGCCTGCTCCAGCCTCCCAGGGAGGGGCAAGCAGGGCCTGTGATTGTCAGGACTCATGACCACATGGAGGTGGGATCAGGCCGAGCACGCGGAGCTCCCAGGAGTTACCAAGGCTCCCCGGCTTCCAGCCCCTCCTGTCCCGTCCCTGCAGCCTGAGAGCTACAAGCAGGAATCCCAGTGGAGTTGCAAGTCGTGACCGTCGAGGAAGTCCGTGGAGAAGAGGCTGGGTGCAGTGGTGCTGAGCGGGGCCAGGCTGAGCACGGGGCCGCCCGATGACAGCTCCAGCCAGTCCATGCTGTCCAGGTGGCCATCAGCCAGGTCCAGGCCTACACCGCTGGGCTCAGGTGCAAAGTGCAATTCCGAGGTGTCCATGGGTGAGGGGGGGTGGTCCAGGATGGCAGAGCTGCTCAGCATCTGGCTGTGGAGGTCGTCGATGAGGGAGAGGGGTTCTGGCCCCTCATGCCCGCCCGTCAGCAGGGGCAGTCCCGTGCTGCTCTCCAGGAAGTCCTCTAGGCGCCCAGGGAGGACAGGAGAGCCCGAGGGAGGCGGCGGCACCTGGGGGAGCTCAGCAGAGGGGGGGGACGGCGTGGCCAGGGGTGACCCGCAAGTTGCCATCGAGGGGGGCTTCTCTTTCTCTGGTAAGGAAGGTGGTGGCTCCTTGAAATCTGCTGAAATTTCTGGCAAACAACAAAGTGAATGGATGTCAGGAACCAGGCCTGAAAAGGACCTGAGGCTGGCCCTACTTTACACCACATACAAAAAGTTAACTCCAAATAGGTCAAAGACCTAAATTGGGGAGCTGAAACCACAGAACTCTTAGGGAAAAATGGGGAAATCTTCACTGGATTCGGTAATGATTTCTTGGTTGCACCAAAAACGCAACAATAAAAATACATTAACTAGATCGTATAAAAAATTTTAAATTTGTGCACCAAAGGACACCATCAAGAGCAAAGACAACCCAGAGTGGGAGGAAATGTCCGCACACCTTGGATCTGATGGTTCACATCCAGACTAAAGAGCTCCAACTTAACAACAAAACCCCACAGGGAAAAAGGGCAAAGGACTCCACCATTTCTCCAATGAAAGATCTGCAAATGACCCGTAAGGACAAGAGAAGATGCTCAACCTCATTAGTCTTTAGGGAAATGCAAATCAAACCCACAAAGGACCACCACCTCACACCCAGTAGGATGGCTAGTAGTAAGTGTTGGTGAGGATGTAGAGAGATGGGAGCCTTTGTGCACGGCTGGTGGGAACAAACACGGTGCAGCCGCTGTGGAAGACGTGCAGGGATCCCAGCAGATGCAAGTACGCCAGCGCTCACAGCACCATACGTACAACAGCCTAAGTCCGCTCAAGTGTCCCTCACGGGTGAGCAGATCGGCACAAGGTATTCTGTCCCTACAGTGGGATCTCACGCGGCCATTAAAAGGCAGGAAACTGATGACCAGCTACAACACGGATGAACCTTGAGGGCACTGTGCTATGTGAAGTAAGCCAGAAACCAAAGGACAGGTACTAGAAGATTCCACTGGTATGAGGTCCCTAGAGCAGGCAAATTCAGAGCAGAGAGTAGAACAGAGGTTCCCCGGGGGTTGGGGGAGGGAGTTCCTGCCTACCAGGATCCAAGTGTCAGTCCAGGATGACGAAAACATTCTACAGACGGATGGTGGTGATGGCTGCACAACACTGAATGTATTTAATGCTACTGAATTTATACATTTTAAAATGACCAGAATGGCAAATTTTATGTGTATTTCACCACAATAAAAAAAAAATACATGCAGAAACCAACCAGGCTTGCTCCCTGGCACTCCCGCTCTCCTCCCGTCCCAGCCTGACACGCCTGCCCATCTCACCAAGCTCGGTCTCCCCAGATGCCCACCCCCATTCAAATGCCTTCCCGGGGCATCTGTGCCACCTCTCTGGCCAGTTCTGTGTTCCTCGGGGGGCAGACGGACAGCACCCCCAGCTCCCTTTCTCTGCCATGCCTTCACTGCTAGCGCTCAAGGCCTGGCCTGCTCCCTCTCTGCTTCTGGCATCATCTCTTTTTCCAGGAAGCCTGAGCCCTCCCAGTTTGGGTTCCTGTCTGGACACCAGGAACTCCCCAAATCTGTGCCCAGGCCCCTCTCCCGGGCTCCAGACCAGCCTCTCCAACGGCCTGCGAGCACCGCCCAGCCCAGTAGCCTCAGTGCCCCCTGTGCTTCTTAGAAATGTGCCTCAGACGCCAGACTCCAGAATCCGCAGAGCCTTGCTAAGGTCAGAATCTGACCTTGAGGGTAACATCAGCTCTTACACTCTGCGGGGTTTCTTTTTGAGATAAAATCCACCATTTTATTTACTTAAAATTAAAAAAAAAAATGATCCCTACACCCTACACGGGGTTCGAACTCACAACCCCAAGGTCAAGAGTCAGATGTTCCATGGACTGAACCAGCCAGGTGCCCATAAATGTCACCATTTTAAAGTGTACGATTCCCCGGCTGAGTGCTCACTTCACCTGTACCATCTTGCTAACCCTCCCCCTACTGCCACCAGTAAAGCGCTCAGAGAACTTCCACGCACCCTGCCTTCTTGGCTGCTGCCATCAGGGAACTCCCCCAGCTCCTACCTGACGCTGAGCCCCCCTCACCTGCCCTGCGCCCCCCGCACTCAGGGACCTCCGCCACCAGCACGCAAACAGGCTGGCTCCTTGCTCACTTTGCAGGAAACCCTCTGCAGAGAGCCATCCGGACTTGCTGGCTCCTACACCCCCCAGGCCCTTGCCCATGGTCCCACTGTAGCACCTGGCTGAGGTCACCAGCGGCCAACCACGATGCTAACCCCGTGACCAGATCTTGGTCACTGTCTCCCCTGGCCACCCAGTGACAGCCCTGGACTTCAGGACTTCACGGTCTTGAGGACACCCTCCCACTCTGCCCACTGCGGAGCATGATCTGCTCGTGCCCCTGGACTATGCCTCATCCTCCTCTCTGCTCACCCAATCTCATGGCTCCAAATGTGCATCTAGATGCCAACAGGTGACGCCCCTGCTTGGCTGTCTCAGGACACAGCCTGAGGCTGCACGGGACGCATCCCCAGTGCACCCCCTGGGGCTCCCCCTGGCAGTCTTGCAGCTGCATCTGGGTCACTCAGGCCGAACCCTTGGTAACATCCATGGCTGTCATCCTATCGTCTTGCCACACACAGGCCTAATCCATAAGGAAATCGGCTGGCTCTCCAAAATACACCGAGACTCGGGTCCTTCTCCACCTCCCTGCCACAGGCTGGCCCGGGCCCCCTGGACTCCCACAGCGGCCTCCTAGCTCCTGCCCTTCCAGCTAGAACAACCCTCCATTCAACTTCGCCCAGAGTCCGAGCCCTTCCGCCATGCGCCCGTGAGGCCTCGTGATCTGCCCCGACCTGCGCGACTTCTCTCCCTCCTGTGCCCACCCCGCCCCTCGAGCACACCTGGCCCCACAGGTGCCCCCCAGGGAGCCCAACAAGGTCAACTCAAATGCCCCCACACACCTGAGACCCTCCCCAGCTTTCCGTAATATCTGCTCCTCCCACGATACAATCTGTCTACTATTCATTCATCTCACACTAGACCATGCAAAGGTGAACATCTCTGTTTCGTTCATCACTGCACCCCAGGCCACGGCGACAGTGCCCACCACGCAGTGGGTGCTGGGTAAAGCAATCAATGCTTGAGGGCTGCACCCCTGAGCGGTGTCCTTGTCCAAGCCCTGGAGACGGTATACGTCTCAGCTGTTGCTACATCCAAACTACAAGGCCCGTCAGCCCCTTAAGTGTTCCATAACGGAACAAAAATCAGTAATCAAGCACCCTAGGGCTGAACACAACCTATGGGGCAAGGAGGAGGTTGGTGGAGGAGTCAGCTCAGGAGTCTGGGCTTTACCTCCACTCTGAATAAGAATGTCAAACAGGTCATCCATCTGCTGGCTGGAGGAACCATTCTCCTGTAGGACAAATAGGGGGGAAAAAAAATGAAAATCTAGAGCAGGAGGCCTCCAGCCTAGCTCAGGGCAGAACCCCTTCCTTCCACCCTTGAGTTGGCAGCCAGACCTGCAGAGCCCACCGGCCTGGGCTCAGGCTCTCAGAGCTCACTCCTCTGTCAGGCCAGGCTCTGGCCAGTCTGCCCATAATGCCCCCTCCATCCACACCCACCCCGCTGGCCACCTCCCCGGCCCTGCAAGGCCTCCTCTGCCCCTATCTTCCAGTTGGCTTGGTCGGGGGGACTGTGGGAGTCCAGCCCAGCAGCCCAGGCAGACGCCCACCCTGGCCGGGCCCCGGTCTACCTTCTTCACCTGCTGTCTGGGCTGCTGGCTCACGGCTTCCTCATAGCCAGGCGGCTCCTTCTTCAGCAGAGAAGTAGGGGTCCCAAAGAGGGGCTGTGATGGGTGCTCTAGGTCCATCTGGGCTGGTGGGCCAGGGGCTGGAGAACCAGGCTGGGACAAGGGCTGGACAGAATGGTAAGAGAACCGGTGGCTGGGATCCTGAGGGAAGCAGGCCTGGGGCCCAGCACATTCCAGGAAGGCAAGGCAGGAGGAACCTACCTTCTGGGACACAGGACAACCTGCTGCTGCACTGGCTTTTAGGAAGCTTGCACGGAAGCCATTGGGGAAGAAGGAATAGGAGACTGGGGAGGCCCTGCCTGACCTCTGACCCTGCAGAGGGTGGGGCTCTGGGCGATTCCCCTGTCTCCTCCCTTTCTGCCGGAGGCTGCTCAGGGACCCTGGTCTCCCATCCTGAGGGGCCCGGTTCCTGTCACTGCCCACCGTCCCCTCCTCCAGCCCCGAGCTCTGCAGGGCTGAGAGGCCACACAAAGCCTAACGCAGCCTCACCTGTGGACCAGGCTGGCTGGAGGGTCTGGGCTGTGAGGGTAGCACCAGCAGGGAGCCAGCTGCCCATGACGGCTTGGGGGTGGGGGGCACGGCTGGCCTCTCCCAGGTAGGGGGCTTCCCCGACCCTCACCGGGGCCTGTCCCACCCCCATGGAGCAGAGGCAGGCCTGGGTGCGGGCTGCTCAGGGGGGCCCTCCGCCCGGGGTACAGAGATGGGTGGTCCCTGACAGCTCCACCCTCAGGGCTGTGGGGTCTTCGGCAGCTCCCTTAATCTTCCCAAGTCCTAGTACCTCCCCTCGGTGACATAGGGATGGCCATCCCTCGTTTCAGAGGACTGAGTGGAAGTTTAAAGGAAGCGAGCACAATCTGCCCAGCCGTGGGGTGCCTGGTAAACGGACTGTTACCCTTAGTCTCCTCACGCTCTCCCGCGGCCCCAGCCCCTCCCCACACCCAGGTACCTGCTCGGGGCTCCTGCTGGCCAGGCTGGGGCTGTCTGCATTCTTATTGGTCACGGTGAGGACAAGGTGGGTCCCTGTGGAGTCAGTGATGAGGGTGGGAGGCGTGACCCCCTTGATGAGGCTGGGGCCCTGGGGGCCCAGAAGCAGCTGGGGAGCAGGGGCTGGCTCAGGCTCCGGCAGCGCAGCTTCCTGCTTCACTACCACGGCCGGGGGCACCAGGGGACGAGTGTCTGCATGGTGGGCAGTGGGGGCCGCCAGGCTGGGGCTGAAGGGGTGAGCAGAACCTGTGGGCTGCCGGCTCAGCTGGCAGCTGGAGAAGCTGTTTTCCTGCTTGACTGGGGTGCCAAGGGGGGCCGGGGCCGGCTGCTGGGCCCGCTTCTCTTGCTCCAGCTGCAACCTCAGCCACTCCACGAGCTGCTGTTTCTGGCGCAGCATGCGGGTCAGCTCTTCAATTTGCTTGTCCTTTTCCTGCAGCATCTGGTCCTTGTCACGCCCCTCAAGCTCAGCCCGTACCCCAGGGCTCAGGCAGCAGGACCCGGCCCGGGGGCCCTCCTCCTTCACAAGGATCTGTAATGGCGAGGCCTGCAGGGTGAGCTGGGTCAGTGGCGATGTCACCATCTCGCCAAAGGTGTCCCCGGGTGTGGAGTTCTCATCGCCTGTGCTGAGCAGTGAACGCTCTGAGGGGGTGGGAGACACGGGGGGTGTGGAGCCTGTGCTGCCAAATTTCACCACTCCGTTACTGGTCACCGTGGCCACCACCACCTCAGCTGGGGCCAGGCCTGCTGCCACCAGGGCAGGCCCCGTGCTTAGTCGGGCAGCCGGGAAGGCGACCACTACCTCCCCAGCCTTGGGCAGGATGGAGGGGGCAGCAGGGCCCTTGGGGGCTCCTGGGGCAGGGCTGACTTGTTCTTGGTATGCACGTAGACGCTCGATCAGGTCTGTCTTGGTGCCTGAGACGGGCAGTGACCGCAGCTTTAGCTCCTGCTTCAGCTCTGCCACCTGCAAGGGGGCCGAGAGTCAGGGGTGGGGCAGGGCGACAGAGAGAACTGGGTCTAGGTAAGAGGGCAGTCGGGGAGGTGGGAAGGATGAGATCTTTGTTCATTAGGCTTCAACCATCTGGGTCCCACTGGTCCTTCAGATCCACGAGCCCCTGACCTTCCCACAGCCCTGGAGGGTGGGACGTGTGTGCCGTGAGCCCGGCCTCCTCCCTTTCGCCATCCTCACCACACAGGAGGCCTGGTTAAAATACTCTTCCCCTCCCGTCTGGGCATGAGATGCTCTCAGGTGTCCCCAGCCCCAGCATGGGCCCTGGTGTTCAATGACTTAAATACTTCATTGAATCAACTGGACTGATTTTACAGATGAGAAAACTGAGCTCACAAAAGTAAAGTAACTTCAAGATCACCACTAATGAGCAGCAGAGCTAGACGTTAAAGCCAGGTCTGATGGACTCTGATGTCTGTACCCAGCTACCCGCACAAGGGCTGCGTCTTGCTGGGGTCGGATCTGACTCAGGAGGGGCCGGTCTGCTCCTGAGCACAAACTCTCCAGGGAGAATTTGATCTGTTTCATCTTCTGATTGGGGCAGAAGAAACAGACCAGGCCCCGGACATGACCCACCTTCCAAGACCCCAGGACATGAGCAGGGTCTGTGCCCCAAGCATGGGCCACTCTTTTCCCAAGCAGATGCAGCAAATTCAGTGGCAGCATTAGCAAAGTGGAAAAGGTTGGGGAGTTGAAGTGGACAGCCCCAAGTTTGAATCCTGACTCTACCACCAGCCAGCTCTGAGACCTCAGGCAAGCCTCTCTGCCCTCAACACCTCCGCCTGCTCGTCCTTAAGCCTCATGCTGCACAGCAAGGGCCAAGGAAGAGAAATTGTATAAAGGGGTCGGTAGGCCCCGAGGCCCCAGGCAGACGCTGGCTGCTGTAGTTAATGGTAATGACTAGGATGACAAGGCAGATGCCATGGATGACCAGGGCCACGCAAACCTTGCAGCAGGCTCCAGGGGCCTCTGCTGGAGGAGACCAGAGTCTGGAGCTCGGCTCGGCCTTCCAAGGCCGTGGGGCTCGCGCTCTCCCTACAGATGAACACTAGGCCAGCCCCCCGCGGGAGGTGGGGCCGGCAGTGGCTCCAGTGGGAAGGGGGCGCCCACCTACCTTCATGTCATCCAGGTTGGCAGGCAGGGCTCCCGGCTTGCCAGTCAGCGGGGTGCTGTTCTGACGCGCCAGCCCACTGGGCCCGGGAGCGCCCGAGCTGGAGCCACTGCTGGTCGTGGAGAGGCTGCGTGTCGGGGGGGCCCCACCGCTCCCCGGGGCCTCGCCTGCGGGCCTGAGGAGAAGAAATGGTAGACATGAGCACCTGGCCAGCATCGCCCTCGGGGCAGAGATGGGCATGGGGCAGGAGGGCTCAGACCAAAGGGTCCTTAAAGATCTGGGGTTCACCCAGCCAGGCCTGGCATCGGCCGGGCAGGGCGCCTCTGGGCGGGACGGGCAGGGCGGGCGGCGGCGGGCTCCTACTTCGGCGGGGCAGGCAGGATGGTCTGGTAGTTATAGTGCTGCTGCTGCTGCTGGTTGAGGATCTGCAGCTGGAGGAAGAGCTGCTGCTGCTGCAGGATCTTGGCGTAGGAGGAGTCCATGGGAGGCGCCCCCTTGTCCTGCTTTTGGTCCGGGGGGATGTACTGGTGATACTTGAGCTTCTTCACCTTTGGCTTCAGCTCCTTGGCTTTCTTGCTGCGCTGTGACTTCTCACTGGCAGACTTGGGTTGGCTTTGCTGAGGGCACAGCAGATGGGGGGCGCCATCAGGGGGCAGTGCTGGCTTCTCAGAAGGGCCCCCCCTTCCTCCACCCCGCCCGGTTCCACGCTCCTCCACCAGCAGTGGCCTCGTCAGCGCCCACAAGCGCGCCTGGGAGGGAGGGCCCGGCTGGCCGGGGCGGGTTGTGCCCAGCCCCGCTTACTCAAGAGAGCCTCTAGCCTGGGGAGAGAGAGATCAGGGAATGCAGACGTGACCGTGACCTGGAGCAAAGCGTGAACACGACAGCTGGCTGACGGAGCGCCTGCCCTCCACACAGGCCTGTGGTCAGTGCGCGCGGGGCTTGGGGAGCCAGCCTGCAAAGGCTGAGGCATTACCCAGAAAAGAGGAAGGGTACACGGATATATTTAAACTATCCTTCAGACGTGTAGTGGTCAAAGAAAGGCACCAGTTGTGTGATGAGGAGCAGATCTGAGGAAGGATTTTGGGGGGAAACAATCTGACATCTGTGGCCAACCAGGAACACACCACAGAGGCCAAGAGAGGTGCCCCGACGAAGGAAGGCCTGGGCACTGGGACCCCAGGAGGAGTGGCTCACCACCTCCTCTGGGACAGGGAAGCCACAAAACTTGAACTTTCCTGCCAGCAGCAGGGCCTCATGGCCCCGCAGAGATCATGCCAACAGGGAAGGCCTGGGGGCGGGGGCGGGGGCGCCACTCAGGAGGGCACCAGGGAGCGCCCCCCACGCACACAGGCAGCAGTCAGAGGCACAGCGAGGGCTTGGCTCCAGCAAGGGAGGGGGAACCGGGATGGCTGGGGGGGGCGGGACGGAGACGATTAGACAAAAGGATGAGTGAGACCGAGAAGCAGGTGGGGCAAGAAGGAAGGGAAGCCTCCCAGGAGGAGCAGGGCCACAGGTGTGGAGGCGCCAGTGGGCAGTCGGCTGGGGGCTAAGTCCCCGAGACCCTGGAGGCAGGAGGCTCTGGGGGGTTGGGGGGGGGCGCCGGGCACTGGCTCTTGGTGCTGCTACACGTAATTCACCTCAGCGCCCAAAACAGTGTCCCCCACACAAAGATGGGCATCTCAGGGGCTGGTGGTAAGCCCTGCCCCTCAGACATGTTAGATCAGGCCTTAGAGGAGAATAAAAAATGCCCAGGGGCACCTGCTGGCTCAGTCTTGATCTTGGAGTTCAAAGTTCAAGCTCCATGTTGGGTGTAGAGATTACTCAAAATAAACCCTTAAAAAAAAGAAAATGCCCAAAACGGCCCATGTGTGACCTCGAGTCCATCCTTTCACTTCTCAGTTTTTTCACTCACAGAATAGACTATGACTGCCTCACGGGATTGTGCTGAGCGTGTTTTCATGGGGGAGGGTGGAATAAGAGCCAGGAAGAGCCCGTCCAGACCCCGGCCCACCGCACTCAGCAAGCGGTGCTTGTGGGTGTGACAGCCAGTGCCCATGGAGAGAGGAGGAACTCTGTTGGCCCCTGACCAGGGGGAAGAGATATGCACCCCACTCCCTGCAGCTGTCCCTCCACTGGGACGAAATCACAGCAGGGCTCGGAGGGGCCCGGGAAGGGGAGGGAGGGCAGTTGGCTGGGGACCTGTACCTTAATGAGCGTCGGAGTGGGCTTGGCCACTGGGGCTGTGGTTCCGTTGGTGAGGCTGGGAGGCAGAGGAGGCTGCTCGGCCAGGAAAAGTGTTTCTCCGGAATCCGGGCCCAATGGGAGTTGAGACACAACCTGAGAAAGGCGGGGGACACAGCCATATCAGGCGGTGGTGCATCTCAGCCCTTCCCTGCCCAGAGGGGGCTGCAGGCATCTCCTCCAGCAGCAGCACTGCGTGCAAGGAACAGCCCCCGGGAGGCAGGGCGGAGGGAACTGGAACACGGAGCCACAGAGAGCAGGCGAACAGGTCACTAACTGAATGAGGGGGAAGCAGGCGGGTCTGCGTGGATGCAGGGGCTGGCCAGGGGGCCTCAGGGATCCCACTGGGAGGCAGCCCCAGCTCGGCAGCGGGCTGGCCAAGGCAGCTGAAATGGGGCCCACTGCCGACATCTCTGGGGCTCAAGCAGCCGGCTCAGGACCTCGCAGAGCAACACCCTCGGCTTCCCAGTCCCCCCTGGCCCAGGTGACACCTCACTCTGGACAGCTCCAGCAAGTGTGGGGCCCTTGGGGAGTGGGGAAAGCATCCGGAGGGACAAGCTCACCTGAGTGGGGGATACAGAGGTGGCACTAGGCAGTGGCTCACTGACTCGGGCTTCCAAGGGTGACGGCACCGAGCCCTGGGATTCATGGCTGGCAGGCTGCTCAGGGGATAAGGCGTCACTGCTGTCCTCATCAAAGGAAGAGCTGTCCGCTACTTTCGGGTAGTTCACCTGGCCCACTGAAAGTCAAAGCCGGCGTAAGATTCCACCTCCAGCCCCCACAAATGGAGAGAGGTGCCTGCGCCCCGACCTCCAGCCCAGCAAGGCAGACAGGAGAAAGCCCAGCAGCTGACCTGCCTTCTGGGTCCAAAAGAGCTCCAGGAAAGCTCATCATCATGACCCGGACACAAAGGCAGAAGAGTGCTAGCTACTCCGCTGTTAAAGCACTCCCTTGCCTTTGACTCTACACTGTGTCCAGCTCAGAGTCAAGTTCCATGCTCCCTCCCTGCAGCCTGTAGCCTCCTCTGTCTCATCTAGATGTTTCCCTGCTGTTAAAAGCACTTCATGTCCATCCTCTGGTGGCACAAAACTCTCCTCTTCCCACAGAGGCTTGTGGCCCCTGCAATGAAGGCTCAAAGGGACAAACAGCCTGAGAACACGGCTCCTCACTGGGCTGTCTCGACCCCCTGGAAGGCAGGGACAGGCTAAGGGCTTCTGGAAAAGGTGCACCTACTCAGAGTGGACGTATGGTGACCTCCTTTTAGTGGCCTGCGACTCCCAGAGACCCAAGAGCTGGCAGCAGCAGCCACCAGGAGAAAATCCACCCAGCTGGCTCAAAGTGCCCTGCCCGGCCGCATGGCCAGGGTCCTGGCTGCGGCCAGGCTGGGAGGGAGGAGTGGGAGCACCAGGGCCCTAGTGTGGAAATCCCAGGACACAAAAGGAAGGAAAGACAAATAGGGTATTTCAAAAACTTCATGTCCCAACCACCCGCTCGGCACTGCTGGGGGAAGAGGTTCTGCCGGGGTCTGCTGTTCACACGGGAGGAACGGAGGCGGGGGTCACAGCAGAGGTGAACTGTGGGGCGCACCTGGGGAAATCTGCGGTGGTGAGAAGACCGCCGATAGGGAACAAGAACAAACTAGGAACTCTCCCAGCAGACTCTTCCTCTCCAGGGCCACGAGCTGAGGCTCTCTCCTCCCCTGGGACCAGGGAAGGACACACCTGAGCTCGAACATCCGCGTGCGAACAGTGGTGTGGGAGCCAGTGATGCTCACTGCTGGGCCGGCTCCTACGCCCCCTCCCCTCTGTCCTAGCAGGGGCCGCGCACACGGTGCACGGGGGGAATGGAGCTCAATTACTGCCATGTACTCCAGGCCTCTGACGCATCTAGACTTCTCCCAGCAGCTCTTCCTCCCAGCAAGGAGACAGGCCATGGGATGGCAGCCACCCGGCACCCAGCACGCGATGGGAGGAATCCGGGATGGAGGCAATCTGGCTCGTCCAACGGGAACCAGGGGCTGGCCACGCTGGAGAAGCCCAATGAGCAGGGCGGGCCAGGATCCCTGCCCTCTGATTTTGGTCCAGTCCCCTCTGCTCAAGGGCAACACAGACTCTGTGGAGACGCTCAGGGAAGACTTCTTGGAGGAGGGGTCTTGACATGAATCTTAGAGATCAAATGGGGGTGGGTGGCCTGGAGGGGAGGGCAGCGGCGTGCTGTGAGTGGCCATAGGGAGCGTGTGGGGAAGACAATGGGTGGTCAGCCTCTGCAAAGCCCCTGTCGCGCCCCCACCTTTATCAGGGCTCAGGACCACCGTGGCCCCCTCCCCACACTCCACATCCAGCTTCGCCTCCTCCTTCTCCTCCTCAGACGTGGCCGGAGTCTCTCCCCTCCCAGGACCTAGCTCTTCCTCTGACCCCTTCCTCTCAGCCACAAAGCTGTATTTCTCCCAGCCTAAAACTCCTTTGCAGCCCACCACCTCCCTCTTTCTTCCTTCTCCACTCACTTCTTGAACAAATGGTCTGCATCTGCTGTCAACACTTCCTTACCACCTAGTCGTTCCCAACCCACATGATCTGGCTTTTTCTGGCAAATGCTCCTTTCTCTCAGGTCACTGGTGGTTATTACCTGCTTACCAAACTACACTACCTCCCCATTCTCAAACCAGCTGTGCTCTGCCACACCTCCAGGCCACTGCCCACATGGCCCCCTGTGCCTGGAATGTCCTTCTGTACCTTCTCCGTTGGGCAAAGTGGACCCCACATGTGTCCTACTGTCTGTGATACTTCTCCAGGCCTCCCCACCAGGCCCGTCTCTGAGAGAAGTCTGTGTTGGCCCGGCTCGCACTGACCTGACACCCCATTACCCCCACGTCGTCACTACAGCGCCTGTCCCCTGGTCTGTAACGAACGAGACTGCTGACGGCAGCGGCCCTTCTGTGCGTGTCCCGAGATGCCCAAGACCGCCGGGCCCTTTATATCCATTATTGCCTGTGGACCTGCAGCCTGTCCTGTGAGGCCGGTGACTCAGCTCCTATGTCACAGGACCGTGGCCTTCTCACTACACAGCGCTGGCATCTGACCGGGAGCCAGACTCAGAAATCGCCTGTTCCTACATCAGTCTTCTCTGATCGTACTGCATTCTTGGAGGGCAGCATCATATTTTGTTCATCTTTGTAAACTGCACGACTTCACACAGGGCCTGGCACCATGCTCTCACATTTTGGGTGGCTGGAGAGTCCAGAACTGACCTGGGCCTAAACACAGGCCTGACATTAGGGGCTGCTGTGGAATCCGGTGAGGATCGGGGTAGGGGAACATGGAGATGAGGTGGGATGAATGCCAGGGCAAAGCGGGGGACTAAGAGGGCTATCAGCACCAACTGGCAAAGGGGCTCCTCCTACCCTGTCGAACTGCTGTCTGCAGCACAGAGGCTCTGGAAATCAAAGTCTCCTCTGACTCAGGGCTCATGGCCCAACTCGGCCTGAGCTGGGGTCTGTGGTTCCCCCCCTGGTACCCCGCCCAGAAGATCTAACTCCTTATGATGGAGGGAGCAGGTGAGCCTCATGTCAACCTTCCAGGGGCAGGACCAGGTCTTAGGCCCACTGTAGCCAAGAAGACATGCCTGTACTAACAATGACCAAAATCTAAAGGAATCAGGTTCGAACACCTGCCCGGGGCACACAAGGCCCTGGCATGTCCCAGACTCTGCCCACCTCCCCCGTCCTTCCAGCTCCACGCCCAGGCTGCTCCTCGCCCTGCGAGGCTCTCCCTCCCTGGAGCTCGTAGTGCCTCTCTCCCCGTATGTACTTCAACTCCGACTCATCCCGCAGCCCCGGTCTTGGCCGTCTCCTCTCTCGAACCAACCCCCTGGCAGAGCCGGGACGGGGACCCTCCTCTGTGTGCCCAGAGCAGCTGGGGCTCTGTCCAGCACAGCTGCTGCCTCTGTCTGGCCGCTAGCTGTTTACCTGCCTGAACCTGCTCCTAGGTGGGAGTTCGATAAGGGCGAGGGGCTTGCTCTGCTTCATGGGGCTGTGTCCTAGCACCTGGCACACCTCTCAGATCAATCAATATTTGTTGAGTGAAGTATCTGTGGAAAGTGCCAGGCTTCAAGGAGAGATTTCACTAATAAAAAGAAACAGTAAGGAACAGACTTCTGATTCCTGGCATCTCCATAGGTTCATACACACCAATCCTGACATCTAGCTACCCAGTGAAAGAGTATACAGAGGAGACAGGGGACAGAGGCCCCTCTGTTAGTTAGTCCGGCATGATCCCTGAGGCCACTGGCACTGTCCCAAGCTAACACTACCTGTTTCTTGGGCTCTCACGTTCTGTACCTAAACGTTTCCCAAGTCAAAGCAGGAAGTCAAGCAGCAAGAAGCCCAGAGCCCCTTCCTCCTGCATCCGGCCTGCACATTCACACAGGGTGGCTGGGGCCTCCTCACCAATGATGGCTTCTTTCAAGCTGGACTCCACAGGCAGAATGTTCTTCTCAACCAGCTCCATGGGGCCCGGCCTCTGTGCAATCTTCTCGTTGAGGTCATCAGCCAGTCTGGCTCTCTTCAGCTTCAGCTGCTTGGCCTGGAGGGAAGGCTCGGCCGAGGTCTCTGCCCATGGGAGAGAATGGAGTGCAGGAGGATGTAGGAATGGACCTGGCTCTACCCTGGGAACTCCAGAGCAGCTCTGCTTCCCTCTGGGGAAGGAGCAGAAGCCATCAGGATGTAGAGAGTGTCCCAGGCAGAGAAGAGAGGCTCAGCTTTAAATTCTACAGGACACAAGAAGGGGCCCGACTGCAGACAGAGTGTGGGCACACCCAGCCACGGTCACTGGGCACGGGGGGCTACAGAGCCGAAACTGCAGCCGATGATGGAGCACACCCTGCCCTCCCTCAAGCTTTCTGGGTTCCGAAGGCAATTCAGTCCCTGCTCTGGGTCTCAGTGTCTCTCTCTATACAAAGCAGGGCTCAGACTAAGGAAGTTCTCTTCCAAACTCAAAGTTGACTCAAAACTAAAAACAACAACAAAATGGATAGATTCACGCTGCTTTCAGCAGCCAAAATAGTTTCTTCACTAGAACGTGGACAGAAGTGTGTGCCAGGCCAGGCAGACACACCTAGGATGAACTTACTTGGGTGTCACAGGTGCTCATGTGATGCTGAATGGATGTGGGAGTGAAGGAGTGAATGAGCACAGAAAGGAACTGAGTTTTTAGAAGATTCTGGAGAAAAGGCTTTCAAACCAAGGGATGACAAGATCCAGGGCCACCAGGCGGCCAGAGGAGAAAGGGGCAAACCAACCTACGAGAATGTGACTGTGCGGCTCTAGGAACTCGCAGAACTCATGCGGCTACCACAGCCCTGCTGTTCCACTGTGTTAAGGCTTGGCTTACTCACTGTCAACAGCAACGGGAGTGATAAGAAAGAGGGACATAGAAATGTGGGTGATGCACGGTGGAAACAGCGAGCGTAAGGGGAGGAAGCATTTCCAACCTAACACACCTTCCAAAATATGCATCCTGACCAGCTCCGATCTCTCCGGCCGGGAACGAATCTTCCGTTTCAGATAGTCCTCTGTCTATAGAAAAAACACACCAAGAGAATCTCAAATCCAGGATACAAGTTATGGAATGGAACCTCTGTAGCCCCCAGCTGCCCCCCATCCCAGCCTGGAGCCTTCAGGGTTCTGAGGCAAGGAGAGGCCTGGGGGGACAGGGGCGCATCCACTTCCAATGCACCTGCTCAGGGCACCCCCTCATCTGTCAAGACTACTTGTTTCTCTGAGGCTGAACTATCCATGTATTTCTTAAAAATGTATTACTTGTACTATCATAAAAGTAATATATGTTCATCAAAGAAAATTTAGAAAATTACAAAGTAAACAATAACAAAAAATTTTAATCACCCACTGTTAGTATTTTGGGATATTTATTTCTAATCATTCTTCCATGCAAAAGATGTCTAATTTTGCAGAGCTGTAATCATGGTGAATGTAATTTTATATCTTGTTCAAAAAATGTAGCACTGGATAATCGCATGAGCATTTTCCATTCATTTTGAATGGCTGCCCAATGTATTACTAATTCTGCTATACGGTGTCATAGCTGTAGCTCCTTCAAGTCCAATGCCCTCATTTCTGAGACTCCAGGTGAACTAAAGCATTCCCTGGTCAGTCTCAGCGCCTGGTGCTTGTGCTATAAGGCCCAGGTGGCCCCAGGTCTGTCTGACTCCAGAGTCTGTGCTCTTAACCACTGCACCAGAATTTTTCAAACCACAGGTCAAGACCATGAGTAGGTCAAAACCAGGAAAGGATAGGACAAGACAGGACAGGACAAGGTAGACTAGCGTAAAGTAGAAAATAACACAGCAGAGCACAGAGCACACTGCCTCTGGGAGAGGTAAAGCCCTGGCGCTCGCCTACTGTCTTGGAGCTCTGTGCTCTCCCCAGGGGAGCACGAAGCCCTACGGGAGACGGCTCTGGATCTATTGCTCTGCATTTGCAGAGGACAATGGGACTGCCACGGCTGCTGTAGGACATGGTAGAACAGGTATCAGACACCACAGGTCTTCATGGGCATCAGAGGGAGGCGTATTTTCTAAGCTACCTGACATTCTGAACCATGGCCAAGGATGAGCTAGAATGCAGTACTAATTAAGAAAATACCTGGAGTCCACAGACCAAGGTTTGAATCCCAGCTTTGCCACTGACTAGCTTGACAAGTTAGTTTACCTCTCTTAGCTGCACCTAAGAAATGAAGAGCACCTAACTCGTAAGAGCTGAAATGAGCCGAAATGAGAGAATGACATCCCTCCGCATGTGGAAGTACTCCGTAGGTAACCGTGGTTCTACTGAGCTCCAATTAGCTCCTTGTGTACTTGAGAAGCAGTCCAGGTAAGGGCACCAAATCTTACAACTGGGTCAGGGGCCCAGACAATCCCCCCCATCCCACCCCGGTATACTCCACTCCTCCCAGTAACTACGACGGCGCAGTTTGTTACTGCTTTGGTTCCCGGCGTCGGTGACCTGATTCTTCCCACTCACTCTAAGAATTAATCATAATTTTCCTTAGAAATTTTTAAAAAATAAGGAAGACAGTAAGAAAGTCTTAGAAGTAGATATTTCACTCTCTGAAAGAGCTGCGGATCTTACAGAGCCCTGACCTATATGGTCCTCCACTGGGGAGGTTCTCTTTCCTTGTCTTTTATGTAAAAGAAAAAAGTGAAGGGGGTGGAGGGGAAGCATGTTCTGATGACTTCCCCATCTCTGTCCACACTGGGCAGTAGAATATCCCCCTGAGGCCCCTGAGGGAACTGAAACCAAGGGGGGGACAAGGCAGCAGGCCAGGTGCTGTAGCAGGAACCGGGGCTCAAACCAGGGGCCCAGCTTCTGCATCCACCGCCCCGAGTGGACACTGGCTACTCAGGGCACATGGAGACTAGTGAGGTTTCCTGCTCCTTGGAATGCCCTTCCTGGAGAGGCGTGGGTAGTGCAGCCACGGACGTGGAAGACCAGCCCCTCAGCAAACTTTTCCATGGCTGGTGTTCATGTCCTAACATCTACAGAAGGGTAAGTGGAATTTGATGGGAATATACCAGCAGTCTCCAAAGTAACAGGAGGGAGGACTGATCATCATATACCCATAAACACAGTAAAGGAGAAATTCTGATCACATTTCACATCATGCTGTGAGATGGCTGGGGTGGGGACGGAAAAGAAAACGGCAGCACTCTGTGTCTGGAACTGAGGTGTGGGCTGGCCCCTTCCACTAGACTGGAAGGGACACACCAGCAATGCAATGGGCTCTGGAGGCCCTCAGGGAAGAAAGGCCTTACCCTGGCCCGCTCCAAGCTCCTTCTCTGTTCATGAAATGCAGCTGGACTTTTCAAAGCTGTTGGGAAAAGAATCATAAAAGAATTAGTTTTATGAAGCATCATGTGTACAATTTACAGTGGAGAAGGCATTTTAATTCAAGTTAATTTTAGCAACACTAATTCTTATCAGCGGAAGTGAAGAAGAACATGGCACCTGAGTAAGCACGTATCTTTATGGTTCAGCTACCCCATTAACAGTTTTGGTTACTTCACTTCTAATGAGAACAGTCACTGTTTAAGCTCAGGCTCTATAAAATGCACAAGTGGAATACAACTTAAAAAAATATCCTGGACCTATTACTAAACCATTAGCTGCACAATCAGTCAACCCTCCAGGAATATGTACTGGGCCCCACCTCATTCTGGTGAAGACAGGGACACAGGGACACAGACAGGAGTACAGCAGCATGTCAGGTCCACCTTACTTCTTCAACCTAATTAGGAATCACAAAGTGACCAAACTGAATGGGGCACTTACACCAGAAAGACCTATGTCTGCTTGGATGCCATTTCCTTCTTCACTTCAGCTAATACAATAGTGCTGCTAAAATTACCTTGAATTTCATCTCTGAGGACTAAAAGACCTTCACAGTAATTGTATGGTTAACCCTGGTGCACACAACCAGCAGCTGACAGGAAGGGCTCACTACAGATCCTGATGCCTACCCCTACGCAGACCACAGCTCTCGACTCAGCAGACAAGATCAAACCAGGACCAAATCTCCTCAAATGTGGCACAATGAAGAGAGTTTTGTGTCAAACACTTGGCTATAAAGACAAAGGATGAGTTGGGACACCCTGAGGGTAAGAGGGGGAAAAGGCCTGACTCACTTCAAGTAGGGAACAACAGCAATAAGAGAGAAATTTACAAGACAGTGGTCAGTTTCACTTCTGCTGCCCTAGAATTTCAGAACAGCTGTGAAACTGTGTGTGGAGATAACTTTTGCTAGGCTGCTTGCTGTGGTAGGAGCGCAGGGGAGAAGCTAAAAGTAGCAAGAGCACAGATATGACCCTATCCTGCCTGGGCCTTTGTGCTTCCTCCCCCTATCCCGCTCCTGGGGGCTGGGCCTCAGCAACAACAGTCCCAGCAGAAAGATCTAAATGTCCCAGCAGTCCTTATTTAAAAAACAAACATTTCTAAAATCTTAGGATAAAAAACAATCATTTAAAAAGATCAGTTGAGAGCCTCCCCATCTTCTAACAGCAGGGGGAGCTCTAGATTTAACAAATAATCTCTAAGAAAAACCAGCACAGCCTCCCTCCCCACCTACCAGAGCATTCCAGGGCACTAGCCAGGCTATCCCAGCCCTAATCTGGGGAGGTCTTGGGCAATTCAGTGGGTAAGCAGACAGCTCCTGCACCTGCTTCTACTGGGTAAAGCTGGTTCAACTCCAAAACCAGTCTCCAAAAGCCCTGATATGCCAGAATCTGGTAATAGGATGTGATGGGCCACTCTCATGGAGGCAACAGTAAATACAAAGAATCAAAGCGAAAACTCAGTGTCTCCCCGACCACCCCCAGCTTCCTTTCTGCCTTATTCTGTACAGCACTCATCACCATCAGACATTCTTTCTAATTGGTTGACAGGACTCTTTCCTTTGTTTCTGACAGTATCCCGGGGCCTACGGTGCCCAGCACATAATTCATTCAATGAATTGATGAATATTCTGTAAGAAATGGACACAAGGTGTACCCTAGTGACAGGAAAGCGAGAGGGTTCTGTGGCAGAGCTGTATACTTTCTAAACTTTCACCTGCATGGCCAGAATTTAGGCTCTCATCTGGGTTCAAAACTTCACAGAAGTCCCAGACAGAAAAATCAAGGCTCAAAATAAAAAAACCTGTGGTGTTTTCCTGGGTTCTACCAATCATTAGTAGCGTGATACAGGGGACTAAGTTCTGGGTCTCATTTTCTTCTTCTGCAGAGTGAGAATTGGCCTGCGTCTCAGGACTCCTGTGAGTCAGATGAAACTGGAGTGCTCTAAAAGCAAGTGGAGCACACACAGATGGACATGAAGCGCTGCTGTCACCAGATGCCGTGATGCCACTGAACCATGGGTTCGAGTCCCACACACGCCTGCTAGTGTCAGCACCACAGCCACATACCTATCTAGAACCCCGGCTAGTTGGCTGCCTCAACAACCTACCTTGGCTGTCCCAAGGGGTAAGGCACAAATCCAATTTCTGGAAAAACAACTCACAAAGCACAGAATTTCTAGATGGAAGGGGAGCCTATTTTAAGGATGATGTAGCACCGGGCGCCTGCGTGGCTCAGATGGTTAAGCATCTGCCTTCGGCTCAGGTCATGATCCCAGACTCCTGGGATCAAGTCCCGCATCGGGCTCCCTGCTCAGCGGGAAGCCTGCTTCTCCCTCTGCCTCTCTCTCTGTCTCTTATGAATAAATAAATAAAAATCTTTAAAAAAAAGGATGATGTAGCACCAAGGGGGTAAGAGGTAGGAGAACCGGCTGTCGCATATATGACTTCCTGTTTGGTAAAGGAATTTTCAAGTAACAGCAAAGGAGAGATTAATATTTATGGAGGGCCTACTTATGTGGTAGGCACTGTTCCAGATATTTAAAACATGTTATCTGATTTAATATTCCTAATGATCCCATGTGGTAGGTAACACTCCAATTTATAGGTAAAGACAGGCTCCAGAGGATAGGAAAGGCTAGCAAGTGACAGAGTTAGGATGGCAACCTCACTCTACCTCACCCTCAAGTCAGACTTCTTCCCATTCCTCTGGGTCGATTTCTTAACTTCTTCAAAAGGTGGAGAAGGACGACCCTATCAGGTGGGGAAGCAAGGAGGCTTCAATTACAGGTACTGCCTGAACGGAGCGCTGAGTGCAGGCAACTGGAAAGGTCAGCTTGACCACAGCACTGAGCACAACAGGTGCGAAGAGGGGTTCAAAGTGACCGCAAGCACAGAAAGCCACGGTCTGAAACCTGGGGCTCACCATGGAGCTTAAGGAGCAGCCTCCAGCACTGGTACTAGGAAACAAGTGGGAGGAGTAATGAGAGACCAGAGGAATTCATCAGCTGCTCAGGGCCCGAGCAAGAGAACCAGAAATGAGGACCAAGAAAAGAATTCAAGACAGTAATTACCAATCCCACAAGATTTTATAACAACATTATAATCACGCTGAATCCTCTAGTACCAACCCACGACATAAGGACCCTTCTTCTAATTTTATCCGTGATGAAGCTAACAGCACAGTAACCTGTGAGGTCACTCATCGAGTGGCGGGCCCCAGCCCAGCTCTAGTTCTGCCTGCCCGTTCTTCTCTGGTCCCAACCTTCTGACACGTGTGTTGGTTTCTCCCAGTCCGTGAGTAGCCCACTCGCTCTGTGCTACTCTTTCCCCTTTGCTAACTCTGCTCTCTGAGAGCAGGTTCAGCAACTTCAATAGCTATTTCCAACAGAAGAAGGGAGCAGCGGCCCTCTTCCTCCAGGTTTCTGTCAAGATTCCTGTAGGGCACTCCTCGGGCTTCCGTGGGGAGAAACTGGAGTTGGGGCAGCCAGGGCACTCCGTGCACTGGGGCTCGGGGAGGAGAGGGCATTCCCGCGCGCATCCAGCCGGCTGTGCTGTAAGCCACATTGCAGCAATGAGGGGGAAGCTAGTGAAAGAGACGCAGGGTGGTAAAGGTAAGCCCCCGGCTTCCTCGGAAGAGTGAGCGGCAGTGCGTAGTCAAAATCACCTTAGGCTTCATAAGCAGTTGCAACAAAGCAGAAAATCGTCTTTAAAGTTTAGGCCTCTGCTAGTTGTAGAAAGACCTGGAAAGACTCAGAGTTAACCCATAAATGTGTGTCCAATGAGGAGGGCTACATTCGTCTCGGACCTCCATCTCCCTCCTCCTTACTGTCTTAATGGCTTTGCCACAGAGCCAGGATGTTACTCAGAAATTTCATTTCCCCAGAAACTCCTAGAAGGCAGTCTTTGAGAGAGAAGCCCCCAAAACCGATGCACACGTAAGAGCTGTGTATATGGCTTGCAAGCATATACATGTTTGGGGTGCGAGGGCAGCTCTTGACCCTTTACTCCCACTGTCTGGAAGCTGGTTCCACTGGGACACTTTACTGCTTTGTGTGCACAAAGGGAAGTGTGCAGCACATACCGAAAGGAAAAATAACCAAGCTCCTCACAGAAATCAAATGAACAGAAGTGGCTAAGAGGTGTGACGCTCTTAATCACAGTTTCAGTTCTAGATGTGGGTCTCGCCCCTGGCTGGCTATAGTCACCTTCTGTTCCCTCTCTCCAGTGCCCATTTTCTTTCTCCCCTTACATTTTTGCTGCCTTAATTAAATGAGGGCCTTGTGAACTAAAAAGAGAAAAATGGTTTTAATTTTTAAAAAAATATACTGCCATCAGCTTCCAAGGAGGAGTTCAATGCTACGCTCAGTGTATCCACTGAGCTTTGTGGCTTACAGTACAGGAGCACAGGGATTGAGCAGTCAGGATTTAATCTCGCACTAGACAGTAAGTGTAAGGACCCTTAATAAACCAACCTATAGCATTAAATTAGGACACTAAACTAGCCCAGATTTACTTAAACATGTAGGCAAGTCAAAGTCTTCTAGGACCCACAAGACAGTCTGGAAATGCATCTCAGTGAGGAAAGATAGCAATTAGCCATCAGGACTCCTTTCCTCATTATCCTCAAGGAGTACTTATTAAGTGCCTGTATCGGAATGTCACTTTATTAGGTGTTGACATAAGAAAAATGATGGTTCCCATCCTCAATAAGATACTTTTGCCAGAAGCTCACCACCAAGTCTACACTCAGAGGAACTCAAAGGCTATGAACACAGTATAGCTAACAGGAGTCAATGGAGTGCCACAGCCCAAGGAGGCTTTCCTTCAGGCAAGCCTGATGGATTTCTTTTTCCACTGTAGAAGCAGCAGGCATACACAGAGTGGATACATAAGTTGGGAGTTTGGTGGGGGGCGATAAACAGATTTAATAATCCAGGTGGGAAATCAGAAATATAGCCATCCATCCATCCATCTGTCCA